CACACCTGTCTGTAATTAAGTAGCCCTTGATTAGCTGGTTCAGGTGCATTTGATTAGGGTTGAAGCTGAACTCTGCAGTATGGTAGCTCTCCAGGAGCAGGGTTGGAGATCCCTGTTAAAGACTTTTGTTGATGCAGCATTTTACCACAAAACTCAAAATGGCCGACGCCCAAAAAGGAAAATTAGGTATCATTCAATTCGGTATGCCATTCTGAATCTAACAAGACCAATCTTATGATTTTTGGTCAAACTGGTCAGATGTCAAATCTTTTAACCAGTAGGTGGCACTGTGCCGAGACTACTTATGTGCCCTCAGGTCATGCTTGTTATAACGCATACCAAGTTTGGTCAGAATCCACTAAAGTGTTGCTAAGATATAACCTCATGTCCGTTTTTGCATGCATTTGATCAAATTCATTAATGTGCTTTACGAGAATGGTTTGGTCTATCAGAAATCTTTTGATAACTTTTTTGCCAAGATGATCTGAGCCTATTTTGGTGAAAATCAGACAAACCGCCTAGGACGAGTTTGAAAAAGTAGATTTTTCGCATAATTCAAATTTGCAAAAAATCTTTACTTTGAAATTTTAATTTTGGTATGCATTCGAATCAGTGGGAAAAAAATAAGTTTGCTTCTAGACCTTACAGTTCAAAAGTTATTAACAGAAATATGAGTGCAAATTTGGCCTGTTGGTGGTGCTAGACAGTTTGAGATATAGACTCCAAATTAGCTATGGTTAATATTGAGACTGTCCTCTATCTGTGTGCCAAATTTCATAACTTTCCCGCAAGCGGTTCTATGGGCTGCCATAGACCTCCAGAGTGGAAGAAGAAAGAGTCTAAAGAGCTCACATTGACTACGTTTACATGGACATCAGTAATCTAGTTATTTACCTTATTCTAAATAAGCCAATATTATAATTATGGTGTTTACATGAGTTGATTTTAGAATATTCCTTTCATGTTCCCGTTTTACATGTTATAGTACATAGTTCAATTAATGGCACACGTTCCCTCCGGAATTTCATGTATAACCGTATAGTTCGTCTTCGTGATGATGCCATGTACAGTTTGACTAAAATAAGAATACTCCACATGTCTTAATTCAATTTTTACTTCAATTATGACTTTAGCCGGATTAAGGTAATCAAAAATCTCTGTTTACATGGTAGATTCTTAATCAGAGTATTGTCTTAATCGTATTAAAATCAGAGTATTGTTGTCCATGTAAATGTACTCAGTGACAGGGAGGACTGGGAGCAAAATGGGATTATAACAAAGGATAGAAAATTATTCCCATTGATGAATTGGACATCATTTGGCACATCCTGGCCTGTTTAAAATTCACGGAGTTCAGCAACAACAACAACAACAACAAAAATCTTATGACCCCAAACATTTGAATGGTAATGTGACAAAATAATAGTGCAATTAAAATATTTACACTGTTAACAGGGCTTCATAAATTTGAACTTGCTCAACAATGCTTATTACAATATGTAAAGAGTTTTAAAGTTGCTCCAGACCTTTCAGCCAATATAAAATACTCATGTACAAGTGCATAACTGTGTAAGTAAATCTTAAGTAAACTCAGACAGTTGATTTACCTGAATTTAGTGGCCCATTAAGTTATTGTTGACCTTATTGTTGAAAATTAGCAATTAGCATGCCAGTACCTCATCTGATGTTTTTCTGATGTCAGACTTTGAATAACAGATTTACAGTGTGACCCTACTGAACACCACTTTATGTGTGTGTGACAAGGCCAACTGTGCATTAAAACGGTTCAGCTTAATCATCGTTCTATGTTAATGTCCTGCTTTTATTGACACACACACACACACACACACAGGTATTTCTATAATTATGGGGACTCTCCAACGACGTAATGGATTTTCTACTGTACAAACTGTATTTAATATCCCTTTACCTAACCTTTCTCATCACACAAAACTTTCTGCATTTTTACATTTTCAAAAAACTTCATTCTGTATGATTTATTAGCTTGTTTCCTAATGGGGACAAAAAAAAAATCCCCACAAGGTCAAAAATGACTGGTATTACTATACTTGTGGTTAGACATTTGGTCCTCATAACATAGGGAAAACCAGTACACACACACACACACACACACACATATACACGTACAGCTTCTATAAACTTAAATGGAGAACACATGAAAACTGTTTGCCAAGCTTATATTCAACAATACCGTTTTGGTAAATAAATAAATATTTATTCAGCAAGTATGCAGTAAATTGATCAAAAGTGGCACTACAGATTTACACTGCTTCAAAAGTTTTACATTTCATATAAATGCTGTTCTATTGAACTTTCTAATTAATTATCAAAGAATCCTGAAATACAAAATGCATCACAGTTTCCACACAAATATCAAGCAGCACAACTGTTTTCAACATTGATGATAATAAGAAATGTTTCTTGAGCAGCAAATCAGCATATTAAAATGGATTCTGAAGGATCATGTGACACTGAAGACTGGAGTAATGATGCTAAAAAATTCAGCTTCGCCATTACAGTAATAAATCACATTTTTTAATATATTCAAATAGAACACCTTTGAACAGTAGTATATATCAAATCACCAATAGAATCTTAAATACCTAAAAATGCATTTTTCAAGTTGGTCCAGCTAATGCCCGTCTGTATGTTGCAAAAAGAATAAATCATGTTTTTGCCAATAATTGGCTCTCCAAACAGCTGCCATAATACAGTAAGTGTTCCTTCCTTATACTGTCTCTGATGGTTAACACACATGCTCTGGTTACACACAGATATGAATCTGCCCCATGTGATGTCTTCATCACATTCCCCTTTTTGTCTCCTGCCATTTCTCACCAGAAACACATACATGGCCTTGTCACTGCTTTAGATCACAATACTAAAGTAAATGTCATCTTCCCTATTTGAGTGTTGTGAATGAATGTACAGGCTGTGGGTAATCAGTATTATAGCAGAAAGAGATTAATAACATGTTTGATTAAGAGAGCAGAATAGTGTTTGTCTGTGGCTAATGTATGCACATGGAACATTCTCTTTGATAATGAGGGATTAAAGCCGGATTTCAAACTCGAAATAGAATGTGCAGGTAAAATACTAAGAAACGTGAGGAAAAAGTAATGAGAGAGAAAAATATTTGAGTAAGGCTGATGATACACACGGCAACTTTTTGAGCAATGTTGCTGGGCAACTTTGGGCAATGTTGCCATCAATGTGCAACCAGGTGAGACACAGGGCCAACGACCGATCTAAAGTATCCAGATAGAAATTTGCTACCCGTTCTCAATGGGAAAGTGCCCAAGCAACATTGCTCAAAAAAAGTTGCCCAGCAAAATTGCTCAAAAAGTTGCCCCGTGTATCATCAGCCTAAGGTTTCATATGAACATTGGGTTCCAATAACTTTTGTAAACTCAAATCATGAAGAGCTATCAGCAGATCGAGGAAGGTTTTTTTAAACTCACACACAGTCTAGAGTGAGTGCTCACAAATCAATAATATTCATCCGAATGTATGTCATCCAGTCAGGATATCTAATCTGCAGAGCCCTTTCATCGGTCTCAGGTGCTGTGAGTGTCCCAGCATCAATCATCTAAAGAGCTCTTACCACTAAAGACCAACTCATCTCTATCCATGACTATACTTGGAGTAGAGCCCACTACCATCATTTACTTCAATTCAATTCAAGTTTATTTGTATAGTGCTTTTCACGATACAAATCGCTGCAAAGCAGCTTTACAGAAGATTAAGTTTCTACGATATATTTAGTAGCTTGTCAGTGGAGACTGTCAAATTGATGTACATATGGCTGAAATGTATGGTAAAATTCAGTTAATGACGTAATCAAACAGACGATGAACACTATTAACAGCAATGATTATATGTTGCAATCAAACTTGTAGCAAAATTTGGTAGTTTATGTTGTTTCAGGGTTGGCATCAGGTCTTCTGAGGGGTTTGCGTCATCTCTTCCCAGGTGTTCGGTCATCTCAGGTCTTTGTAAGGGCTGGATCCAGACTGAAGCTTGTGTATTTAGAGAACACTGAAGAAACATTTGGGCTCACTAGCATGGCAGAACTGTCAGGGTCAATGAAATATAAGGATGTCTGAGATGATGAAAAGGAGAAATCGTTTAAAAAATATAGTTTAAAACAGCTTTTTAGAAAATAAATTTTTGCATTCATCTTAGATACACAGATTTTATTATTATTTTAGATATATTTTATATGACATTAAGTTGACATAAAAGTTGTGGGGCGCACTAGCATTAGCAAGGACATGCATAACATGCATAACATTCACATGCTGCTGAATTACTCTCAAAATCTATGAATATTAAAAAACACCTACTGTATATATCCATGATCTGTATAACTAACAAACACATCAGGCTTATTGTTTATTATGAACACACTACTGAGATCACTTTGAAAGTAAACCACAGTTTGTTAATTGTCAAAAAGTTGTAAATAAGTCAACTCAACACTGAAACTTTCCAGCTGCTTATAAATGTTTTAATTTGCCTTCAACGAGTTCGTATTTATTCAATCTGAAAGATGAAATAAAAATAATTTTTAAACAATTGTTGCCACCCACAAGCATTATTACTGCACTTCAGAACACTGAATCACAGTAAGACCTCTGCTCTCCTCTCAAACGAAAGACAACCTCAGAGTAAACTGATCACCTTTTGCCCTGAGGGACGCAGGCGGAGTGAACGAATCAAACCTGCACAGTGAGAGATCACAAATCCACTTTGTGCAGGTGATGCCATTTAAAACACTGAAGAGATCAGGCTTGTGTAATGCTGAACATGATGCAAAGTATGCAGTATGAACACATCTGAGATCCAGTCACTCTCATGGGGACAATGAGGGTTAAATCTGTAAAAGAATATATTTTACTTGCAAAGCAGTACAGCTAGCATGCTCAAATTGCTTGTTTTTTGGTTTTAAGTTTCCATTCAAACTAGGGCAAGGTTACTTCAGCTTAATCATGCATGCAGGATACTCAGGGAGTGGGAGAAGAGGCTTCGAAAGCAACTGGGCATGCAGGGGAGTTGAAAGTGTTAATGAGCCCCATCAGTGCTCCGTGTGAACATGTTGTTTCACAGCACCGTTTTCTCTGTTGTATGGGAATGGGTGGCTGTAGCATTCATCTGCAGGTGAGAAAGCATTGCTGTGTGTCCCAGAAAAACAAGCAATGTCCCAGAAAAACAATGAAAATCAGCTCTGTCAGAAACAGAGACACCATCAGCCACACAAACACATGATTACCTACCTATCAAAATATAGAGAACAGACTCCTATATATATATATATATATATATATACTGTATATACAGTACATTGCTTATTTGCTTTTTTTCTTGTTTTAAAAAGTAAGGCTGTCTGTCAATTGAAATGTTTACATTACGTTTACATTATATGTTGATTAGATAACTGACAATTCATTTAAGCTAATAAGAACCATTATTATCAATTGGGCACCAATAATAATTGATAATAAATAAGCAGCAATTCAGTATATTAGAATGATTTCTGAAGGATCATGTGACACTGAAGACTGGAGTAATGATGCTGAAAATTCACCTTTGACATCACAGACATAAATAAAATTTTAAAATATTAAAATAGAAAACAGTTATTTATTTAATATTTCGCAATACTCCTGCTTTTTTATTATAAATAAACAGCTTTTGTGAGCATGAGACTTTTTTCAAAAACAATAAAAATAAAAAAGCTAAAAAAAATTGTATATATGTGTGTGTGTATATATACACACATACACACACACATTAAAATGGATTAAAATATTTAATATAATTCATAATTATTTTTATATTATATAAACATGGCTCATCAGTAATGATTAACTTTAGGTTCTCAACTTTTAATTTAACTTAACTTAATACTACATATTTTCACTTATTTTACCAAAGTAAATAAATAAATAAATAAATCAAGCAATAATTTCCAGACCACCTGGATTGCCACCGTGATCCACTGTTGGACATTTCCCATTTAATTTTTTCATCAAATTTGTCCCCATAATATAAACCCCTCCTCTACACACATTGATTCCCTTACATATTACAACACCACTGAAGACTGGAGTAATGATGCTGAAAATTCACCTTTGACATCACAGACATAAATAAAATTTTAAAATATTAAAATAGAAAACAGTTATTTATTTAATATTTCGCAATACTCCTGCTTTTTTATTATAAATAAACAGCTTTTGTGAGCATGAGACTTTTTTCAAAAACAATAAAAATAAAAAAGCTAAAAAAAATTGTATATATGTGTGTGTGTATATATACACACATACACACACACATTAAAATGGATTAAAATATTTAATATAATTCATAATTATTTTTATATTATATAAACATGGCTCATCAGTAATGATTAACTTTAGGTTCTCAACTTTTAATTTAACTTAACTTAATACTACATATTTTCACTTATTTTACCAAAGTAAATAAATAAATAAATAAATCAAGCAATAATTTCCAGACCACCTGGATTGCCACCGTGATCCACTGTTGGACATTTCCCATTTAATTTTTTCATCAAATTTGTCCCCATAATATAAACCCCTCCTCTACACACATTGATTCCCTTACATATTACAACACACAAACCCAAAAATGCCCCAAAACACGCTTCAGGGTGAGCATTTTCACACCTACACAGACGACACAAGACAAAGACTAGAGCAAACAGCTGAGATATGCAGCCTAGTTCACGTTTACAGTGATTTACTGTAGCCATTTAACAAGCTCAATGAGAGAGAAACTAGTTATTCTGTACAGTATGCCAGAGCTGTAAATCACTCATGCAGGATCATGAGGACTCACTCTCATCCAAATGACTTTTCTGAGATCAGTCAACTGCAAACGAAACTTCACAGCTAGCTAATCATCTCATATTTCACTATCAATTCACTGATTTCATTGACATTCTCTTATTAAGAAAACTAATTTCATTGTTGCCAGCAGTAACAGATTTTCTGACAAAGATGTTCTAAAAACATCTCATGTTTAAATTGACATGCCACAAATAGCTGTAAAGGAGGCAAACACACATTCATATTTTGGTAGTGCTTTCTGTTTAGCCATTTAATGTGAGATTTTATTAGAAGTGCCAAACTTTTTTAGTAACACCTAAATTCAGGTAAATTAAGCCATCAGATACAATGTTTGCTGAGTCATATTCATTCATTCGATATTCAATATCCAATTAGTATCAGTTTAACATTAACAAAGTAGAAGCATCAGTTTAACATTGAAAGAGAGCGAGGTAAGATGGAAATTTGCAAAATGCATATCAATTCATATTAGTCAACTGTTTTACGATAGAAATGTTAAATGACCGACAGCTATATCCAGTGATGCAAACAACTTTTTATAAAAACATATAAAAAAGGACATATAAAAACAAAATACTATTTAGAGCAATTTTATGAACAAATGTGGAAAATTAAAAACGTCATAAAACAAATATATATTCCAGTGCAGTGAAATAGCTGTCGGCAGGGTGTGCTGCAGCACCCTCCGCATCCCTAGTTCACACGGCTGTGCTCCTGAATGTTTCTTTGTGTGCGCTGGGTGATCTACGATCTCTGTATGTGTGTGTGCGCGCGCGCGCGTGTGTGTGTGTGTGTATTCACTGCAGGATTTCCCCAAGGATAGTAAAACCTGAAATTTTTTATGTTGTGGAGACAACATTTCGGGCCTCATGAGTAAAAAAGCTTATGAATCACACTAAATTAGGGGGGAGGGGTTAAGGGATAGAATATGTTTATAAACATTATAAAAATCATTATGTCTATAGAGAGAGTCCTCTTAAAAAACAATAATACGTGTTTGTATGTTTGTGTGAATGTGTGAGCAACTTCATCTAAATCCCGGTTCTGAATCTGTCCCGACTCTGACAGCTCTTCAGGATAATTTTAGCTCCAGGCTTCTTTGTGCCTTCAACTTTTGTGTTTGGGCAGTCCCGTATTACAGAAGGGTGACCTCATTGCTGTTGCTTAGAGGGATTGATGTAATAGCCGAAATGTCAGCCTGAACCACCTGTGTTTTCATCACTGCATGGGCCAAAGACCACAAGATCATATTGCTCCTATTTTTTGATGTGTATGCTTAAAGGAAAGACACAGTTTTATCAAATCTTCAATATCCACTTGTGAAATCTGCTGGGGTTATCGACTTACCACCAGTTCACACACCTCACAGAAGATCAAATGTTTGTACTGAGGCTACAAAGCAACCACTAACCAAAAAAATAGACCTGAAACTTGTGTTAAAACACAGCTAGCTAATCAAAGCTATGAAAAACCATTCTGCATGTCACCACACACATTGTAGTATCTGCACTCTAAAAAAAAAATGCTTGGTTATTTTTAACCCAAATGCTGGGTTGTGCCTTTTGGGTCATTGTATTGAGTTATTTTATTTTTTATTTTTTCCCCTTTATTTTTACCCAGGTGCTGGGTAGTTTTTGTGTAACTCAGCTGCTGGGTCGATTTTATTGACAATACAAAGTGCTGTGTCAGTGATGGGTCAGTGTAACCCAAAGATAGTCTGTACCAAACCGGTTAAAACTGGATACATTCATCAAAGTTCATTTTGTGTTTTGTTCTGAGAAAAAACATCCTGGGAGGGAATCTTACAGAATGAAATTAAGGTATATAATACATTGTTTTCCTATTAAAGGATAATGGTAGAAACAGGAAAACGTTGCAGCTAAATTTCGCTTGGAATGCTAGCCCAGCAATGGTCGTTTTTAACCCATCATTTTTTTTTAGATTGTAGCCTTAGGTTGATATGTCACTCAGAAGGCAGACTATAATATGTGCTTAGGCTTAAAAGGAAGTGAAGACTCATCCATTGACATAAACTCTTAAAATAAAAACAGTCATCATTATATTACAGTACATATTTACATTATACAGAATAACTCTGTCACAATGCAGAATGTAACTGACTGTTGTTGCGGTGCATGGCTGTAATGTGTCAGTATTGCGAGTATGTATCTGAAGGGTGGTATAAGAGCTCTCTCTTTTATTTTTCCCTTCTGTTGCCCTCTATACATGCTTTGAAATCAGTGTTAATGCACACACAGTTCTAATTTCTCCTAAAGAAAGCTGTACAGTTACACTGTTATCTAATGTAAGAGGTGCTGGATGACTCTTTTCTGTCACTGATGTCTGATGTTGAAGACAAATAAGACTGCAAGCCTTCTGATTTACAGAAGTCAAACACTTCTTTGTATTTCTGGTGGATTAAATAACATTTGCAGTTTAAGTTGTTGTTTTTTTTTCATTTGAAGTGCAAGTTATTTGTGAAAAAGGGAGAAGAAAGTTGTTTTTCTCTAATGTAAAATAGCTCTATTTTATAAGCCAGCTGTTTGGATCTTGGAAGTTTTGTGTATTTTTCATGAGTTTTTAGTTGTGTTGAATGTGTCTGCATATTTCTGTGTACTTAGAGTTTGACTTAAGTTTAAGTAAAGCTTGTGGGTTTGCATACAAAATATAATTATTGGCAAAGTTACATAAAAGGAGTAACAAATAAAAAAACTATATATAACTATATATATATATATATATATATATATATATATATATATATATATCCTGAGTTGCTGAGAGGGTTTTCTGTCCCACCAATGTTGCCTGACAGATTCCGGCTCCGCCCTGGTTGCCCGCCTGGGTTCTGGTGTGCCAGGAGCCTCACTGGCGCATTCCTCCAGCTCCGTCCTGGCTATCTGCTGGGGTTCCCGTATGGTTGGGGCCCTGCTGGTTCATCCTGCCGGCCCCGCATTGGCCTTCCACCCTGCCGGTTCCGCTCTTAGACCCTGGGCTACCTCTGTTGCCTGACCCCCTTCCTTGGCATGGTCCTGGCCCGCCATCCCTCCCCCTGGTCCGCCTCAGTTCCACCTCCCTCCTGAACTTTTCTGTTTTCTGGTGGAGCGTCTGGTATCTGCTCCGTAGAGGGGGGGTAATGTCACAGTGTCTGGTTGTGGTGCCCTGGTTAGCCACCAGAGGGCACATTTTGTAGTTTTGTTTTGTTTCTCTGGGCTTCAGTTCCCATCACCCTTTGCTTTGACAATCATGTCTCATTCTATTCAGCTGTGTCTCATTTACCTTATTAACATCCTCCATATAAGTCTGGTTTTCTTTGTCTTGTTTGCTGGTTGATTGTTTTCTGTTACGTGTTTCTTTATTCGGGTTGCCCTGTTTTTGGATTACATTGTTTGTTTTTTGGATTGTTTATAATAAATGCTGCACTTGGATCATCCTGTTTGTGAGTTTGCCGTGACACTTGATGCCTTATTCTAATTTGTTGAGATCCAAAGACTTAAACTACTTCAGTCTGTGTGCATTGAATTTATTTAATACACGAGTTTCACAATTTGAGTTGAATTACTGAAATAAATGAACTTTTCCACGACATTCTAATTTATTGAGATGCACCTGTATATATAAAACATTTTACCAGTGAGATTAATGTCTTTGAATGTTCTTGCAATGTAAATCTGTAGATTCTTTCTTTTTCTTTCTTTCTTTCTTTCTTTCTTTCAGTACTCCAGTCCTCAAAATTACTTGTTGCGTAATAAGTGTTGCAAATTATTAATTATTCATCATTTTATGCACTTGGTCATTAGAAACCACTTGAGTTTGACTCATATTCTGTTAGTCTGTGTTTTTTTTTTCTTCTCTTATCCCTGTATGGTGCATTCCAAGTCTTTAGGCATACTAATGATGCCCATTACCCATATTGCTCGGGGCTGAGATTTCAACCCACCCTGTTACTCTGCTCCACAAAACATGCAGCAATTTGTGGAGGCTTGGCATTGGTTTAGCAATTGTTCTAGGGGTTGGCAGGCGAGTGTGGATGGCACAAAATAAAAGGGAGATTAGAGAATAAGAATAAATGAGAATGAGAATGAGATAAAGCTGAGTGTTAGTTTGTGGGCTCTCTAAAAGCTACTTGGAGGCTGGAAATGTAGCACATAATTCCAGAATGTTACAAAGAGCCAAATGTAATTAGAGAGCAAAGCTGGAGGCTGCGATGTTCCACTGTGTCATTAATGACTTCCTCCCCCTCCTCGCTCTCACTACCTCTTTCTGTCCCTGGCACCTTTCTTCTTGTTTCCTCCTTCTGTTGTCTTACAGTCAT